GCCGTGTTCCTGCTGTGTGTCTGTGTCTCTTCTCTTCCTAAGGACATCAGTCACCCAGGATCAGGACCCACCTTCTTGGGTACGACCTCATGTGAACTGATAACATCTTCAAAGACCCTGTTTCCAAACCAGGTCACACTCACAGGTACCAGGAGTATTGTTCATTGCATAGAGTTTCATTGTATTGGGGTGGGGCGTAATTCAATCCATAAAACTCTCTGACTCAGTTTCCTCTCCTGTTCAACGGAAATACTAGTTCCTGTCTGCTAAGCCGTTGTGAAGATTAAACGTGAGAAGTACTTAGGACCTGGCACAAAGCGAGTGCTCAATACATGTTGTCCTCCAGAGACTAGGCCCCTAGATGGCTCCCTCTTCCTTCCACTCCAGCTGATCCAAAGCATCACCCCATTCCCCACCCCATGTCTCAAGGGCTCCAGCCTCTTACCTCACTGAGAAATTCTGGGCCAGTGGGTGAGAGTTTCCGGAAGCTCCTGCCTCACCTATAAACCTGCCCAGTCTGCAGGCATGTCCTCCTTTCCTACTGCTCAGTCCAGGAGGCAGACGCCCTCCCTTGCCCTGGGCTAAACCTTCCTCAAGTTCTCTATTCACACACCATCCAATATGGTGGCCATTGGTCACAGGAACTCGATTCATGCACCATCCAATATGGTAGCCACTGGTCACAGGAACTCGATTCATGCACCATCCAATATGGTAGCCACTGGTCACACATGGCTCCCTAAACTCAATTAAAAGTGAGCGAAATTGAAGCTTCAACTCCTCAATCACACTGGCCAGCTCTCAAGTGCTCAATAGCCACGTGGCCAGTGGCTGCTATGTTGGACAGCCCAGATAACGGGACATTTTCATCCTCTCAAAGCTCTTTGGGACAGATGCCTTTCTTCTCTCCACATAGACCTCCACGTTTTCTTGTATCTCCATCTCTTCTGCTCTGAGTTCAAACCCCCATCTGCACAACTTACTAGCTGCCTTAGCGAAGTTGCCTGGCCACTCGGTGCCTCAGTTTCCCCGTCTGTAATATGGGGATAATAATGTCAGACCCCATGGAGTTGCTACAAGGGTTAAATGAGGTCACACGTGGGAGGTGCTCAGAATAGTCCCCAGCAGATTTGAAGCATTAAATCAGCGTTAAGTGCTGTCAGTAGTAGTATCGGTATTTGCCTTCCTCACAGCACTGAAATAAGGCAGCGGTGCTCAGTGGGACAGTTCTCACCTGCCACACGAGAGACTCAGGTTTGATTCCCAGCCAACACACCTCAAGGGCAG